CCCAGTCAGTACAGTAGAGTAAATGTGATGAGTGTCTCCAGCACTTCCTTATCACCTTTGCTTTCCAAATCAAAAATGGTTTATCCTTGACAGCGTCCGTGGTGGTAGGGTTAGCTTCTCCCCCACCCCCACCAAGATACTGGCCACACAAAGAGATGTTCTCCCATTTTGTCACTCTAATATGTAACACTAATCATGAAATTTAACCTAAAATGACAAATTTAAAGCTGAAAAACTCTGGAAGCCATTTAGTGCTGTAGTTTGCAAGCTTTTTTTTTTAACAGTAGAATTCTTTCTGCAAATGAAATTTACATAGAATACCAAACTAGTTAAAAGTGAAGGTTTGGTAGTTTGCTCTGAGAGACACCCCATCTCTGGATCCTCCCCTCATCCCTTGAGGCACCATCTGATCAAACTCAATCTTCTCCTTTTAAAGAAAGTTAAGACCCAAAGAATTTAAGTCATTTGCCCGAGGCCAAGTGAGGTGACTTGGAGTTGAAAATAGATCAGCATAGACTTTGAAGCCAGATGGCTTGGGTTTGAACCCCAGCTCTGCCACTTACTGTGTGACCTTGTGTAAGTTACTTAACCTCTCAGTTTCCTCATCAGTAAATTGGAAATGAGTACAGTCACTGTGAGGATTAAATATTACCATACTAGTAGGTAAAACACACGGGCGAGTGCTCACATACCGTCAGCTCAACAGTTAATAACAGTTTCATTTTCCTTATCCTATTTGAGAATTCCAGTCCATTAGCAGGGTCCTTTTTATTATTAATGATCACCTAAGTGCCCTGTTTGTCACACAGCAGAGACAAGCACGAACCTTTCTGAGGGTTTTCTTTTTCTGCCGTGGTGGGCAAACCATGGCTCGCGAGCCACATGCAGCTCTTTGGCCCCTTCAGTGTGGCTCCTCCACAAAACCCCACGTGCGGGTGAGCACGTACAGTGCGATTGAAACTTTGTGGCCCGTGTGCAGAAGTGAGTATTTTGTGGAAGAGCCGGTATTTTATGGACAAGACACACTCAAGGGGCCAAAGAGCCGCATGTGGCTTGCAAGCCGCGATTTGCCGAGCCGCAGTTTGCCGACCACTAGATTAAGGTATTACATATGTGTCCTTATTCCTCCAGTGGCACTTTGTGTCGGGACTGAGGCTGGCCCAACGCCAGGAGAATGCCTTTGCCATTGTCAATGCCGGGATGAGTGTGAAGTTTGAAGATGGCACAGACACAATCAAGGACCTTAAAATATTCTATGGGCGTGTTGGCCCCACTGTGGTCTCTGCAAACCAAACCTGCAAGCAGCTCATTGGGAGGTAGGTCACAGCATGTCTGGAACATTGAACCCAGGCCTTCCTATTTTACTGAAAGCAGCACTTAGAGATTTTTTTCTGATTATAAAATATAGCTATATATTCATTTAAAAAAATTAATTGCTGTCAAAAAAATAGGATAAGGAAAATGAAAGTCACCCCAAAACCAACATATTTCAAGGTACAGTAATTTTGTTGTTGTTTCTGTAATAAGATTACTGCACAAATTAATAAAAGTAGATATAACCTTCAAATTTTCACTTTTAATTAACCTACATTTCCAACACTGTGTCCTAAGATATCTGAAAATTTCCTTAAACCACATAAAGAAGATGAAATATTCCAAAAGGTTAAAAGGCCTTCCTCTCGTCACTCTCAATACAGAAAACAGATTGATGGTTGCACCAGGTTGGGGGTGGTGGTGAAGGAGGGCACAAATGGAAGAAGAGGGTTGAAAAGTACAAACTTCCAGCTATAAAATGAATAATTCACGGGAATTTAATATATAGCATGGTGACGATCCTATATAATAAAAGCCTAATATGCTAAGTGTCCGGTTGTCCGGTCAACCAATCAAAGCATAACATGCTAATGATATGCTAAGGCCACTCAACTGCTCGCTATGATGTACACTGGCCATCATGGGGCAGACAGTCGACCAGTCGCTATGGCCTAATATGCTAAGTGTCCGGTTGTCTGGTCAACTAATCAAAGCATAACATGCTCATAATATGCTAAGGCCACTCAACTGCTCGCTATGACGTACACTGGCCATCAGGGGCAGAGAGTCAACCAGTCACTATGATGTGCACTGATCACCAGGGGGCAGATAGTCATCTGGTTGACCAGTCACTGTGAAGTGCACTGGCCACCAGGGGGAAGATGTTCCAACTGGTAGGTTAGCTTGCTGCTGGGGTCCAGCCGATTGGGACTGAGTGAGATGGGCCAGACGCACCCTGGAACCTTCCCACAGTCCCTACCCTCCTGGCCAACTTCCCGAGGGACTGAGCAAGATGGGCCGGGAATGCCCTGGAGACCTCCTGCAGTTCCTCCCTGGCCCTAATCATGCACCAGTGGGGTCCCTCGCCCTGGCTTGCACCCTCTTGCAATCCGGGACCCCTTGGGGGATGTCAGAGAGCCGGTTTCAGCCTGATCACCCAGGCCAGGCCGAGGGACCTCACTGGTGCACGAATGCATGCACCAGGCCTCTAGTAGTTAATAATACTGTAATTTGTATTTAAAAGTTGTTAAGAGAGTAGATCTTTAAAATTCTCATCACACTCTGGCCGGGTGGCTCGGTTGGTTGAAGCATCATCCTATACACCAAAAGGCTCTGGGCTGCACCAGGCCTCTAGTAGTTAATAATACTATAATTTGTATTTAAAAGTTGTTAAGAGAGTAGACCTTTAAAATTCTCATCACACTCTGGCCGGTTGGCTCGGTTGGTTGAAGCATCATCCCATACACCAAAAGGCTGTGGGCTCGATTCTCAGTCAGGGTACATACCTAGATTGTGGGTTCGATCCCCAGTTGGGGCACATTCAGGAGGCAACAGATCGATGTTTCTCCCTCACATCGATGTTTCTCTCACTGCAGCACATTCAGGAGGCAACAGATCGATGTTTCTCTCATTGTATCAGATTCTAAATAAAGCAGATGAAATATTTAAGGATATGTTGTGTCGACTTCAAAGATGGATACAGATTGCTCCCCATCTTCCCTTGTTCTATCAGTTTAGTATGTCTTCACCTCATCCGTGGAATGTTTGCATTCTTCTCTACTAGGCAATGGGATGACCAAATGCTGAGCGATGCGTGCCGATTGGTCCTGGATGAGATTTACATTCCGCCAGGAGCTGAGGGTGGCATGGTAGAATATAAGCGAACCCTCATGATCAGCTTACTCTTCAAATTCTACCTCAAAGTGAGGCGAGGACTGAATAAAATGGTAAACGACTTCTCTGCGTCTCTGGGTGCTTTGATATTCTGAGTGGGGGTCTGCACATGAAGGACTTTCCCTGCATGGTTTTGATATCCATCAAGGGCACTGAGTATGGGCCCTTCTCACTTTTCTTTGTTCCTCTCCTTCCCTTCTCCTTCACTATTGGGCTGAAAAGGGGGCAATCTTGGTAATCTATTTGCCCTATAATTTGTATAACAAATACTAATATGCATGCAAGTTGACCTGCAGTCACAAAAAACCTTCAGTAAGTAAATCATAACATCTTTTCCTATTTTAAGGAAAAAAATGTTAATAACCCAACTTTAATATTTAGAAAATTTGAATAAGCCAGAAAAGAGGAAAAAGCATTTGTAATCCTATCACCATAGCTAGCAACTATTAATATTTTGGTATGTATCCTTCTAAATTCTTCTTTATGGATGTGTATATATATATGCCACATATACACACCAATAGAACTGGTTGCTTATTTCACTTTGTAATATAAACATCTCTCAGTGTCATTAACTATTTTTCAATGACATTATGACATAAGTTTACATGTCATGTTTATGGAAAGATGTACCATTATTTGGCCTATTCCTTATTTTTAGACATTTAGATTGTTTCTAATTTTTTATTAACTTTGTTTTCCTTTTCTAGCCTAGTTTAAAATGACTTCCACAGCAGTTTCTCAACATATGGCCCATAACTGAGCGTCCTCTTAATAATTCATGAACTGACTCAAAAATGGCAGATAAATGACTATTCCCACATTTCTTTTATGCCTGAGAATTTCACTCTCTTAGTTCAGCTAGCCTTTTTATTATTATTTTATTAACATTATTTATTATTAGTATTATCATATTCTATTTTGTTTTATTATATACCCTATTATGTGTTATATCATATTTCAGTATATTAATATGTAATCAGTGTAGATTTAATATATTATTGTATGTAATCTATTAAATATATGTTTTTATTTTATATCTATTATATATTATCATATATTCTCTAAAATATTACACGTTCTATTATGTTATATATTCTATCATAGAAGAATTCAAAATGCAGAGAAGCAAAATTTTAAAAAATCAACTCTAATTCAGTAATCCTACAATTAACATATGAATACATACTTTTATATTTTTTAATTGAAAAAAGGGAATCATACTGTACACAAGTTTTTTCACTTAATTGTATTTCATGAGCATTTTTTAATGTCAATAAGTACACTTCTACA